TTCTATTCTTATGGCGAAATATCTCCGGTGGTCACCGGGGGGCATTGCCAGCTGCATAACCAGACGATGACGATAACTACTTTTTATGAAGCTGAATAAACTGCTGGAAAAACAGCTGAAGAAATACCTGCCCGAACCCTGCAGGGAAAAAGAAGAATTTCAACGTTTCATTCATGCTATCAACGACTCTTACAGCGCTTATGAGCGTGATATTGTATTGGCAGACCATGCCTTCCACATTGCAGAAGATGAATACCGTGAAGTGAACCGGCAGCTTAAAGAGGAACTTTCTACCAAAGAAGCATCCATTAATAAACTGAAGGAGGTTGTAACTAATATCGGCGATAGCAGCCTCGGTGATATAAGCCTGGATAACGATCTGCTGAGCATTGCCTCTTATCTGAAGGAACAAATAGCAAAACGGGCGGAAACCGAACAACGCTTACAGGATCAGAAGACCTTTTATGAACGAATCCTCAACCTGATACCCGCCGACATTGCCATTGTAGATAAGGATCACCGTTACTTATTTGTCAACCCGACAGCCATTAAAAATCCGGAGATAAGATCTTGGATCATTGGGAAAACCGATGAAGAATACCATCATTACAGGAACAAGCCAATAGCGGATACAAGCAAACGGAAAGCGCATTTTTATGAAGTGGTTAAAGCCGGCGTACAGAAAGAGTGGGAAGAAAAAGTGGTAACACTATCTGGTCAGACCGAGTATCATCTGCGGGTGCTCCACCCTGTTTTAAAAAACGACGGTACCCTGGATATTATGATCATCTATGGTTTCAACATCACTGAGCGGAAAAAAATTGAAGAACAGATCAAATTAAGCGAAGCCAGGTATCGCAGCATCTTTGATAACAGCCAGGCACTGATCTGCACACATGATATGAACGGTGTTGTGCTGGAAGTAAACCAGGCTTCAGTCAAGGCATTCGGCTACGACAGGGAGGAACTGACAGGCAGACCCGTATACCAGCTCCTGCCCCAGGATAAACAGGAGCACTTCAGAACATCTTATCTTAAAACAATCCGCAAAGAAGGAAAAGCGGAAGGGGTTATGATAGCCCTGAACAAGGAAGGTAAAAGGATCTATCTTCTATACCAGAATTTTATGGTGGCCGAACAGGGCGAAGAGCCTTATGTGATCGGCTTTTCACAGGATGTTACCGGGCGGATAGAAGCGGAGAAAGCGTTGAAGAAAAGCGAGGAAAAGTACCGGAACATTATTGCCAATATGAACCTTGGACTGGTGGAAGTAGACCCGGATGAAAAAATAATTTACGCCAATAACAGCTTCTGCGAAATGAGTGGCTATGATCAGGATGAGCTGATAGGCAGGAATGCAGCCACACTTTTACTGAAAGGCGATAACCAGAGTTTTGGGGCAGATGTGAGCAGGAGAAGGCGTGAAGGAGAATCTGATGCCTATGAAATAAAAGTAAAAAACAAACGCGGTGAGCTTAAATGGTGGCTGATCAGCGGCGCCCCTGTATTGGGCAATGACGGCTCCTTCCAGGGATCAACAGGCATCCATCTGGACATCACTTTGCAAAAAGAACTGGAGAAAGATCTAAGGGAAGCTAAAGATGAAGCAGAACGCTCCGCACAAGCCAAAGAGCTTTTTCTGGCAAATATGAGCCATGAGATACGCACCCCTATGAATGCGATATTAGGCCTTGGCAACCTCCTGATGAAAACAAAGCTGAATGATGATCAGAAGTATTATCTCCGTACGATTCACGGTGCAGCCAATAACCTGCTGGTGATCATTAATGACCTGCTCGACTTCTCCAAGATTGAGGCGGGCATGGTTACACTGGAATATATTGGTTTCAACCTAACCAGATTAGTTGATAATGCGCTGCAGATACTGCAATTCAAAGC